TCATCTGGAGACACCAAACACCTGCAAATTCTTCATCTGGAGGTGCTGGAGACCCCAAACACCTCCAAATTATTCTTTGGAGACCCCAAAACACCTCCAAATTCTCCATCTCGAGACACCAAACACCTCCCAATCCTCCATCTAGAGGTCCTGGAGACCCCAAACACCTCCAAATTCTTCTTTGGAGACCCCAAACACCTCCAAATTCTTTATCTGGGGATGCTGAACACCTCCCAGTTGTTCTTTGGAGACGCCAAACACCTCCCAGTCCTTCATCTGGAGGTGCTGGAGACACCAAAAACCTCCCAGTTCTCCACCTGGGGGTGCAGGACCAGGGGAACCCCAAGCTCCCACGGGCTGGGGACACCTCTGGGCCGGGCTGGGGTGGCTCCTGCCCGCTCGGGGCACCCGAACACGCCCTGGATGCCTCGTAAAGAGCAGGGCCTGGACGTGGTGGTTGTGACATCGTGGGGAGATGCGATGAGAGGCTGATTCAGGGCTGAGCTGTTCGCCCCGGGGCTCGGGGAGCCATTCCCACCCTCCCGAGATGTTGCATCACCACCATCACCGCCATCACCACCGCCACCACCACCAGAACAGGTTTTCTCCCTCCCCACCGCGATTAGGACGAGGCCGGGGCTGAGCTGACGCGATTTTTCCGGCACGGGGAGGAATTCCAGGGGTGCTGGAGCAGGTGGATTCATCCTGGGATAAAATCAGCTCCTGCTTTGCATCCCCAGGTGTGCCCAGCGCCCGGGATCTGATCTCGGCATCGCATCTGGCTCCAGAGGCACCAGGGCTGCAATTAGCAGCGTTAATTAATTGATGGATGGGGATTCACGAGCTCAGGTCCCGGATGGGGAGAGGCTCAGCCAGGCCAGAGAGGTCTGAGCGCTGGACAGGGCTCCAAAATCCCTGAAAATGTGATTTGGGCTCAAATTAAGGATTTTATTCACCCCAAACCTGGGTTTGTCTCAAATTAAGGATTTTATTTAACCCAAACATGGGTTTTGGGCTCCAATTTAGGATTTTATTCATCCCAAACCTGAGTTTTGGCTCAATTAAAGATTTTGTTCACCCCAACTTGTTTTAGCCCCTTGCACCCACCAGATCATCTGATTTTGGCTCAAATTAAGGATTTTATTTGCTCTAAACCCATGCTGGCTCCTTGCACCCATCAGAAAATGTGGTTTGGGCCCAAATTAAGGATTTTATCCACCCCAAACCTAGGGTTTGGCTCAAATTAAGGATTTCACTCCTAAACCCATTCCAAAATTTATTTGCCTTAAATTTGGCTCAGATTAAGGAACTTGCCTTAAATTTGGCTCAAATGAAGGAATTTATTTGCCTTAAATTTCCCAAACCTGTGTCAGTCCCTTGCACCCAGCAGGATGAGTGATTTTGGCCCAAATTAAGGATTTTATCCACCCCAAACTTGGATTTTGGATCAAATAAAGGATTTTATTTAATCCAAACTTGTTCCAGCCCCTTGCACCCACCAGAAGAAGTGGTTTGGGCTCAAATTGAGGATTTTATTCACCCCAAATGTGTTTCAGCCCCTTGCACCCACCAGATCATCCGATTTTGGTTCAAATTAAGGATTTTTTTTTTGTCCCTGGTGCCTGGGCTGGGTCAGAGCTGGAATAAATGAATTTCCATGATCAGGGAGGAATTCTGTGCCCTCTCCCCACTGCTGGGACCCCTCATGCACCCCTTTGGGACCTTTTGGGGTGATCCCAAAACCCCAAAACCCCAAAGGAGCCCGGTGCAGGTCCCTGCTCGCTCGTACCTGTCCCAGGTGTGTCGCAACCTCGGGGAAGCTTTTCCCAGGTAAGGCCCCGGTCTGGAAACGCCCTGGGAACGTCAGGGAAGGGTGGGAGGCTCCTTAAAAACCCGGCTGGGCCGGCGGGATGGGTGCGAGGTGAAGCAGAGAGCGGCCGGAGCGATTCCCACCAGCCCGGACGGACACACGGACACCGCGGGACGCACGGAAGGATGCAGGTGGGGAAAACCGGCGTGGGGGAAATGGGAATGAGGGACCCTCGGGAGGAGGATTTACCTGGAAAAAGCCCCTGGGGTGTAAAGCTGGAGGTTGAGGAGGTGGAAATTCCTGGAATTCCCTGGGAGTGGCTGAGGGGAACCGGGATGGGCTCGGGGGGAACCGGGATGGGCTGAGGGGAACCGGGATGGAACCGGGATGGGCTGAGGGGAGCCGGGATAGAACCGGGATGGGATCAGGGGAACCGGGATGGAACCGGGATGGGCTGAGGGGGAACCGGGATGGGCTGAGGGGAACCGGGATAGAACCGGGATGGGATCAGGGGAACCGGGATAGAACCGGGATGGGCTCGGGGGGAACCGGGATAGAACCGGGATGGGCTCGGGGGGAACCAGGATGGGCTGAGGGGAACCAGGATAGAACCGGGATGGGCTGAGGGGGAACCAGGATGGGCTGAGGGGGAACCGGGATGGGCTGAGGGGAACCAGGATAGAACCGGGATGGGCTGAGGGGAGCTTGGATAGAACCGGGATGGGCTCAGGGGGGACGGGATGAGCTCAGGAGAACAGGGATGGGCTGAGGGGAACCAGGATGGAATCGGGATAGGCTTGGGGGAAACCGGGAGGGGTCGGGGGGAACCAGGATGGGCTCAGGAGAACCGGGATAGAACCGGGATGGGGTCCGGGAGAACCGGGGTGGGCTCGGGAGGAACCAGGATGGGCTGAGGGGAACCGGGATGGGGTCGGGGGAACCAGGATAGAACTGGGATGGGCTCGGGATAGAACTGGGATGGGGTCAGGGGGAACCAGGATAGAACCGGGATGGGCTCGGGATAGAACTGGGATGGGCTCAGGGGGAACCAGGATAGAACCGGGATGGGATCAGTGGAACTGGGAGAGAACCGGGATGGGCTCGGAGAGAACTGGGATAGAACCGGGATGGGATCAGGGGAACCGGAAAAAAGGGAATTTGCCATTGGAAAAAGGGGGATTTGGAAAAGGGGGATTTTTTGGTGGAAAAGGAGGATTTACCAGTGGAAAAGAGGATTTCCTATCGAAAAGGGGGATTCGTTGGTGGAAAGGGGGATTTGCTGTCGGAAAAGGAGGATTTGTTGGTGGAAAAGGGATCTGCCAGTGGAAAAGGGATTTGCCAGTGGAAAAGAGGAATTTGCTGGTGGAAAAGGGGAATTTCCCAGTGGAAAAAGGGGATTTTTTGGTGGAAAAGGAGGATTTTTTGGTGGAAAAGGTTTTTTTTTGGTGGAAAAGGAGGATCTACCAGTGGAAAAGAGGATTTTCTATTGGAAAGGGGGATTTGTTGGTGGAAAAGGGGATTTGTTGGTGGAAAAAGGGGACTTTTTGGTGGTGGAAGAGAGGAATTTACCAATGGAAAAGGAGGAATTTCCTGGTGGAAAAGCAGGATTTGACAGCGGAAAAGGGAGATTTTTCGGTGGAAAAGAGGAATTTGACAGTAGAAAATCAGGATTTGCCGGCAGGGATGTCGAGCTGGGGGCAGGGAGCGCTGGGGCTGTGCGTGGCTCTGTCCCTGTGTCCCCCAGCGTTCCCCAGTGCCCCCATGTCCCCGAGTGCCACCCGGTGCCCCCGGCTGGCCCCGGGGCTGTCCCGTGAGTCACCGGCGGAGCAGCCTCGGTGCCCCAGGGCCGGGCAGGGCGCTGCCACCAGGGGGACAGGACAGGTGACACCGACGTCACCGATGTCACCGGGCGAGTGCAAGGACAGGTGACACCGATGTCACCGGGCGAGTGCAGGGTGGTGCCCAGGGGGTTTTGGCCTCGCTGCTCCCAAATCCTTTTGGTTCCTGGGTTGGAGATGGAATCCTCAGCCCCCAAAGCCACCGTTGGTGACAGCTCTGAGAGTTGGGGACCGTGATGGAGCGACCTCAGGTTGTGGCACCACAGGGGACAGGGGTGGACAC